AGAACACATATTTCGTGCATTTTCTAGAGGGACATCTATCAGCGTTGCACTCGCGTCTCGCACAAGAGAGCCGCATGTTTAGAAAGCCATGTAAAATTAATGCAAGTTCAACTTTTAAAAAACACGTCTCGAGACTTTATGGTGGTTTTTCGCCATCCCACTGCAACTTACATACAACTATACATACATGCATGATGCTGTTTTGTTAATTGTTTAAGCAACTTAATTAATTATATTTGGTTTATAAACATTATTTTGAACATTCTACACTTTTTTTCAAAGATAGTTGTGTTATTTTATTGATTTGAATAAACGTGCATTAGTAATATTTTGCTCGATGCGCCCTCTTGTGGCCTCAGGAGAGAAGCCAAAAGCTTTTTCCCCTCTAACTGAAAAAATGCCTTTTAAATTCAAATATAATTCGAATATTGATAATATCTAAGTACAAAATTCGAAATTAATTTTGTTTTGACAGCCTTAGTTCAGTGAGAGGGGCTGTGCGATTAATAAATTAAAATTAAATCATGATATGACTTAATGCGATTATTAAATCACGAAGGCTGTGATTTAATTAAATAAATAAATGTGCTGCATGTTTCAGAGTGAAGTGCGTCACTGTGTTCATTTACACGCGAGCAGCTCATGATGCAGTACTTTTAGTATCTCAGTTCACAGTGAATGCTGCTTTATATGAACTCCATCTGCATTTGAGTTTGAGTCATTTGTAACACACATTTAGAAACATAACATGCACCAAACATCTTCACAAACTTGTAATGAGAAGCACTTATAAATTGGAGGTTGTCAACAAAAGAGAGGCTTTAAGGGCTCCCTGCGGTTTAAAATACAGTAGTCAACATTTAAAGTGGATCAAAATCAGTATATCACCAGTATAAGATCATTATACTCACTCCATCCCATGATTCCTCCTCCTCCTGTTGTGTTGACAGGGCCATCGTGGGCCGAAGGTTTTTCTTCCTGCAGGGAATGTTGTATTTGTACCGTATGGTGACCATGTACATCACAACTCTTCCCGTTCCCAGCATGCACATGGACTGCGCCCCGAAGGTCAGTGCTGCTCGATAAATCACAAACACGTATAAATGAGTGAACGATTATCAGCACTGTAGTGTCTGCTTGGTCTTTAAGCAAGGATGTGCAAATAAAAGTCATGCAGTACTGATATAATGCATCTTTGTACAAGTTTAGTGCATTTAAAATAAATGCAGGTCAGTGTTAAATATTGTTACTTCACTGTAGTGTGGGTAAACGGGAAAGATGCCCATTGCATGTCTGTTGCATAACAACATTATGACAATTTCCCCAATATTGGCTGATATTTAGCCATTCTGAGAGGATCAGAATACAGAATATATCTTTGATATAACTGATGAAATGGCTTTTATAAATACTGCGAAATCCCCAGTCCTAAAAAGTTATTAAAAATTATTTTCGATGCAGAGTGCAAATGCAAACGACTCTGCATTTATTTGTGCATTAAATTATAGCTGTCACATATGAAAGCTTATTTCTTCCACTGAATAAAAATATTTTAAAAAGCTATGAAATCTTACAATTCAGACTTCTCGGAATATCTCACAATTCTTACTTTTTTTTTTTTTCTGTCCATGAACTGCAAGCTGCGAGTTTACATCTCGCAATTCTGACTTTTTTTTTCGTATTTTTTTTTGTCATACATCTTGCATTTAGTAACTTGTAATTGCAAGATATAAACTCACAATGTTCTCATCCTGGCTCAGCAAACGTGCAACGGACTAAGCCAGGATGCGCTGATTAAACTAGGTCAAGCCGCGCCTTTTCTGTTATCCTGGCTTTCTTAATTCTACTTTTGAGCAATGCCCCTCTGGTTGCACAGACAAGGCTTAGACTAAGCCAGGATTAGGCCATAGTTCAGTTAGGACATTTACGTAATTTTAATAAACGTGCTTAGATAAAAACATTACTGATGTGCTTTTTGAGACAAAACAAAGGCACTGATATATTTTAACATCAGTCAGTGCGAGTTTCTTTCAGTTAAAACAGCTCAGACTTACACTTTAGTCTAGGACTAGGCTTAAGCCTTGTCTGTGAAACCAGGGGTATAAGTTTTAAACTCCCAGTTGCAGGAGTACATCTTGCTATTCTGACTTTTTTTGACATATCGCAAATAGTAACTTGCAATTGCATAGATATAAACTCACAGTTGCAAGAAATAAGTCAGAATTGTGAGATCCATGACTGTATCAAATGCATTAGCCATGATGTATTTGTTATTTTTTTCCCCCTGTGCAATGCTAAATTGCAGCATGCATTCATGGGAAGCTTTGGTGCTTTTATCTCATGCTGCTTCTGTCTGTAGCTCTACGGTGATTCTCACGGCAAGATCGAGCGTGTTTTGCAGCTGGTGTCTGGAGGAGGTTTGTCCATCACTGGCTCTCATCTCATGTGTGGAGACTTCCTATACAGCGGCCACACGGTCATGCTGACCCTCACCTTCCTCTTCATCCAGGAATGTGAGTATGAGAAACCATCATCATCATCATCATTTCCATCGGGTCTCAGTGCACTTGCATTCACACTGTAGTTTATTTTAACTCGGTTTATGTTTTGAAATTAATTGTTTTGTGTGGTAGACTCGCCCCGCTCGTTGCTATGGCGTTGCTATCATGTGATCTGCTGGTTGCTAAGCGCGGTGGGCGTGGTCTGCATCCTGATAGCGCATGAGCATTACAGCGTGGATGTAGTTGTGGCGTATTTCATCACCTCACGCCTCTTCTACTGGTACCACACCATAGCCAACAACCAGGTAAAAGCCTTTAAAACTGCTTTGTTCAACTTCTATTCCGTATTCTTTAGTGCTGTCAAGCGATTAATCGCGATGAATCGCATCCAAAATAAGTGTTTGTTTACATAATATATGTGTGTGTATATAAATATATACATGTAAATATTTTCTAAATATATGCTGTATGTGTGTATTTATGTATACATAATAAATATACACAGTACACACACATATATTATGTAAACAAACACTTTTATTTTGGATGCGATTAATCGCGATTAATCGTTTGACAGCACTAATATTCTTGCATGGAAACTCGTGTGGGAAATGCAAACTTGCTGAGATGCAGCTGCATGATGAGATGAATATTTACCTAATATGTTAAAAATCTGGGAAAAATCTTTATGGCGCGGGTCAAATTGAGCCTAATTGGATTCAATACAGTCTAAAAAGGCACTATGTATAACATATTTTATGATTTTTATGGGTCTATGGAATCTATGGAAGCTATGTTTATATCTGTGTTTCCACCATGGAATTAAAAAAAAAAAAGGTAATTGCGACTGCGATCTCACAATTCTGAGAAAAAGAGATATTCTGAGAATTGCAAGGTATTAATTCAGGATTGTGAGAGCTGAACTTGCAATTGCAAGAAAAAAGATAAAAAGTCAGAATTGGGGGATATTCACTCAGAATTGTGAGATACAAAAGCGCAGTCCTGAGAAGAAAAGTCAGAATTGTTCGATTTGAACGTGCAATTGCAAGAAAAAAAGTCAGAATTTTTATTTAAAAGTCACTTTTAATTCCGTGGCAGATCAAAAAAGAATTGTGAGAGAAAAAAAGTTTATATCAAGTAATTGTTTTTTCTCAGAACTGCGGAAATTTAGGAAAAAGTTGGAATTCTGAGATTAAAAAGTCGTAATATTTTTTTTATTTTTTTATTCTGTGGTGGAAATGGGCTTCCATAAAAAACAGTAAATATTTTACATTAATAGTAACAAAACGTTAAAATAGTAAAAAATATATATAATTAAGGGTCAAAACAATTTAGCTTTTTAATCAGAAGAAGTGTGGAAAAACATTTATTCTGTGTGCTTTCCTGAAGCTCAAATAGTAAGAGCGTGGCGCTCACAACGCCAAGATCATGGGTTTGAGTCCCAGCCAAACTGTGCACCAAAAACTGCACGCCATCAACACGGTGTAAATTTCTGTGAATAAAAGCATCTGCGAAATGCAAACACATTTAGAGGGTAGTTGAGAAAAAAATTTTATTTTTCGGTTCTGTGCAGCTGCCTTTAATTGATTCGCAGGCACCAGATTCGCACAGTTTTGTTCTATTTATTTATTTATTTATTTTCAGTTTTATTTGACAGGAACAATGCACATCAATAATACATAAATGTACAATGTGCCAGAATTAGCCAGAAGGCTATTTTGCATCCATCTATTTTGTGTCCCTTGTCACCCTAAAAATATAAAACAATTAATCAATACATAATAAATACATGCTTCAAAATACACAACACCATGCCTAAAAAAAATTAACATCCACTAAAAAATTATACCATACCTAGAACCATCAGATCAATGCCAGTTCACTTAAAAACACGTACACAATCCGACTGTCAGACAAAATAACCAACAATGTAGGCCTATCTCTAATCCATAATATCAATATACAGGCAAAGATAATGTAAGCATACAGACAAGTAACAGTCAATCTGTACTCAACCAAACAACCTCATTCATATAGCTTAATATGTTAAAGGTGACATATCATGAAAACCATGACGATAGTTTGAGCAAAACATGCTAACTGTTCTGTGTTTCGCTGCACAGACGAGCACAGAACACTGTTTAGAGTCCCAGCCTCAGACGAGACAAGAGAGCAGTGCATTTATTGATTTATTTACTGTATATTGCTGCTGCCACACAGATCTAAAATAAACTCAGCGCGATTAACATGATAATCAGAACCAAAACAGATGTTTTTAGCAGGTCCGAGCTGTAATGGCGCACGCAGCTCTATTCTGGAAAAGGGGGCGGGGAGCAGCAGCTCATTTGCATTTAAACAGCCAGGCCCGAAAAACAGCGTGTTTCTGCTTCCACTCAAAATAGGCATTTTCAACATGATATAATAAATGATCTGTGGAGTATTTTGGGCTGAATTTTCACCGACACCTTCTGGGGACACCAGACACTTGTAAAAAGGGGCATAATATGTCTGCTTTAAGGTTGCAAAATTTGTGGATTGTAAATGGCTGCTCTCCTGATTTTGCAGGCCTTGAGAGGATCTCCTCACAACTACCTAAACCGGATGTGGTGGAGCCGCGTGTTTAGCTTCCTGGAGAAGAACGTTAAGACGACGGTTCCCTGCACGTTTTCATGGCCGCTATCGCTTCCGTCCTCATGCTTCAAGAACCCATGCAAGAGCTACTCGATAGTGCAGAGCGCACGAGACGAATGACGCCACAGACACCGCGCGAGCAGATCGAGATCCTGTTTACTTGAAGCGCAGCTTTTACATGCTTTTGATGGAAGAAAATGTCGTCAAGAGTTTATCCATAAAGACATGTGCTGCCCAGGGTTTGTTCCTTATAGTATTGTTTTCGCACTGTGCTTAGACATAATTAAAATGTTTGTTCTAATAATGTTTCTCAGTGAAGGATTGCGAAATGTGTATCGTTTATAATTGTATAGTTTTGATTTTAATTTATTTGTTCATTACCTTGTAAAGAAAATGTTATTTGTTTTATAAATATCACAAAAATAAATATTTTCTTCAATTTTAGAAAAGTGATTTTATGTTTACATTGATGCTTGTGCATGATGTGACATCTAAACTGATATAAAATCTACAAAAATGACTGAATATGTTGTTTTTTTTGTAATTAATTTAACTGGCAGTGGTACGGCTGGGTTTCCAAAGTAATGATATAGGTGTGTAAAAAATGTGAATTTTAAAATAGTCATAAACGCTGGAACAGTTTCATAAAAACATAAATACTACACTACACTGTTTTATCTATTAATGTTCATCATTGTTTTCCCAGTGTAATTTGAACACGATGAGCTTTTTATTTAGGACTCTGAAGCGTCTCCATCAAAGGCTGACCAGTTTCACGTTTTAAACAGACTTTCGTAGCATATACTAAACTTTTTTGAGGTTACTAATTATTCTTCAGCGCAATAATCGACACAAACGCACGGTTAATTCAGATATGTATCCGCATTTCTAAAGGCCCGTTCACACCAAGCACGATAACTATAAAGATAACGATAAAGATATAGTCCTAAAAATTGTTCTCAATATTAAAGAATAGCATAGTTCACACCACAACTATAACGATAACGATACAGAGGAACGATATCGTTGTGATCACTTTCAAAACGATTTTTTTCCATTTTCTTAGAACAAACAGACGATATCGTTCCCTAGTGTGGACGCTAATATCGTTATCTTTATAGTTATCTTTATAGTTATCGGTCTTGGTGTGAACGGGGCTTTAAGGTGATTCACTGTGTGGTCGGTTCAACCAGTCGATTCACGAGCAGAAAATCGCGTAATTTCGAAACGGCGCGACAACTTCTCGTTCAGAAAGTGAGTCTCATCAGACGTTGATTCAGTAAACACTTAAGAATTCATTCAAGGATTCGTTAAACTGATTCAAACCAGGACGTGAGTGAAAATGAATCGTAAGGAGAAGCTGCTCAAATGAGTCGTTTGTTCGTGAATCGGACACTCATATTAATGTTAAAAAACCTCATAAAGTGAAATTTTCATGCCATGGGACCTTTAAACTGATTCAAACCAGGACGTGAGTGAAAATAAATCGTAAGGAGAAGCTGCTCAAATGAGTCGTTTGTTCGTGAATCGGACTCTGGCGTTGACCGTTGAGTTTGTTTTCGCGCGCTTGCAGATCACATGACCACAGATCAATTCAGACTGGAAAATGAGATTCACAAATCGGGTAAATATGATTGTTTTTAATGTTGTGGCTAGAGTCATAACCGCGAAACTATTAACAAGAGTTGAAAACCAGTAACGTTACACGATTGAAATCGAGTCTGTACGTGTTACATGATTAAAGTAATTTGTGTTTTTGAAGTATTTCATTTATGTTAGAGAATTCTAACTCCGCTGCCGTTAGCGAGCATCCTGTTGCTATGGCAACTGTGAAATTTCCGCGTGTCGATGACGTCACAAAGGACACTATATACAAGCTGAGGCGTGTTGAATTTCTGCAAGTTGAGTGGTGAAGAGCTTAGGCGAGTTTGAGGGATGTTTTTTCAACTGTAGACCATACGAACACTGTATACACACACCAATTGAGTCTCTAGATACAGATTATAGACACAAACAGACAGTCGGTTTGATAACTGTGCATTACGTACAGATCTGTCAGTATGATAACACCAGACACAATGTCTATCGAGGCGAGAGAGGTGCGTCTGGAGGTTTACCTCAACGGCACCTTCTACTCCGGCGACAGTTGCTTTGCATTGGATGATAAAGATGTGCCGCTGGAGTTTGAGATCCCCAATGCCATCTACGAGCTTCTCGGCTGCAGCGGTAATCACGAGATAGATGTGAAGCTGAAGGTCATAACGGATGATCACTTCTCCGTCAGTTACTGCAGTCCAGGAGAGATGCACGTGCAGCTGGAGATCTCCGAGAATGAAGACATCTCAGTCTGTGAAGTCAAAGATTTGCAGCTGAAAATGAAGATGAAGATGAACAGCGGCGTCTCCGAGCTGAAGAGCCCTACGCTGGTGTCTGAAGATCTGAGCGACCCAGCAGGAGCTTCAGTAGAAGAAGCCAGTGATGAGGGTGGCCTGGATGCTGAGGAGAACCGCCCAACAGGTGAAGACAAGCATATGTCTTATTCTTGTGCATTCGTGTGGTTAGAGATGTTTCTGACAGTGTATTATTATGTAGGCATGACAAAGACATAATACTGTTTTCCTATTTAAATGTGTTACTCTTCCACGTCCCCTGACACCCTAAATTTCAAGAGTAACACCTCCTTGAGATTTCAAGCTGCAACCACCAAATTTGGCAGGGACCTTCAGGCTGAGCTGAGTTTTGTTGCTATATCTTTTCTAACTGATCCGACTTACAGAATTCCTGTAGCGGACTTCTAAATGAGACCAAACACTGATAGATTCCATTTAGGGAGTGAAAACTTTTGCCAGTTTAGAGTTTATTCTAATCTATCTGTCTATCTGTCTATTTATCTGCTAAAAGCTGTTGGAAACATGCCAGAAACAAGTAGCAGAGGACTCAAAGTGGTTTTTAAAGGTCTAATTGGGTTTGATGTGGTTTCGTAGCAGTCAGATGAGGTTTAATGGGGTTTGAAGTATCTTTCTGATTTTCTCTGAATTCTGTGAGTAAAACCTTCAAACTTTAAGCTTTTCAGATAAGGCTTTGGTCATCAAACTTTACTTATCTAGTTTGCTTCTTTTTTTCTTCAGAAAGCACTGCTGGGTGGATGTTCAAGAAAATGAGTGCAGTCTTCCAGACAAACGCACTGAATGCTGTTGTTGTGGAACCTGAAGTGGATCTGATTGATCCAAAGGAATCCCAGTGTGTCCCAGATCCAAGTGCTCCCGAGCCAGAACTTGAAATGGATCTGGTTAATACCGAGCAATTGTGTATCACTGAACCTAAAGTGGATCTGGTCGATCCAGAGGAACTGTGTGCACACGGTCCAAGCGTTCCTGAGCCAGAAGCTGAAGTCACATCAGAGCTTTCAAGGTTGGAAAACTGCATCCCTCTAAACGTGTTCCAGCTGGAGGATTGTTTGAGGGAATGTACACTGTCCAAGACTCCTGTCACTGAGGTCTGGCCCGGGGTCTTCATTGGAAATGAGTAAGTCTACTAATATAAATGGTGTGTTGAATTAATAATGTATTGCAGGAGTATCAAACACAATGATATTTCTATTTCATTGCAAATCCTCTTTAGTGAAAGACTAACCCAGGCTGTTGTGTTCTTGTGCAGAGAGACGGCAAGGGACCGAGATAAACTGAAGGAGATGGGAATTACACGCATCCTAAACGCTGCAGCCCCGAAGAAGAACCTGAAGTTCTTGTTGGGAATGGCAAGAGAGAAAGACCTTCTAGGAACGGTCAATACACGGTCCAGATATTACAGAGGCTTGCACATCACTTACTGTGGCTTGCCTTCGTCGTACAGACGCTGTTTTGACATCAGCAAGTACTTCATGCCAGCTGCCAAATTCACTGACAAGGCCTTGAGGAACCCAATGAGTAAGAGCTGACACACACACACACTTTCCATTTCTTATCTTTTATCAAGTGACGTTTTTGACCGTCTTTCTGTTTGTCTTTCCTCAGGTAAGGTGTTGATTCACTGCACACAGGGCCTCAGCCACTCGGCGACTCTGTTTCTGGCGTATCTGATGATCTGCCATGACATGATGGTGGAAGAGGCCTTTGATCACGTCATGAAGGTGAGATGCATCAGGCCCTATTTTGGCCATCTGAGGCAGCTGGCGTTCCTCAATGCCGACCTTGTGCGGCAGTGAAAACTAAAGCTTCAGGGAAAAAAAACAGGCAAAAACATGACAAAATGGCAGATAAAAACAAAATAGAGCACAAATAAAAAATGGTGCACAGACTTAAAAAATACAAATAAATGGATGCACAGATTATAAAATGGTGCACAGATAAAATAGTGTACAGATTTTAAAAAATGGTGCACAGACTTAAAAAAATACAAATAAATGGATGCACAGATTAAAAATGGTGCACAGATAAAATCATAGAGCACAGATAAAAATGCAGCACAGATAAAATAGAGCACAGAAAAAAAAAGTACAAATAAAAAAAAACAGAGCACAGATAAAATGGTGCACAGATAAAAAAGTGCAATGATAAAAACCACAGCACAGATAAAAATGTTTAAAAACAGGTGCACAGATAAAAGCAAACAGCACAGATAAAATATATATGAGCAAAATAAGAATAATTATTCAATAATACTTAAAATGTATTAAATATATAATATTTTGTAAAGCGTTGTTGTTGTAAGTGTGTCTGATTTCTGACTTCCATCATTGCTAAGAGCAAACACCAAGCTTGTGTTGAAAATAAGAAGTGTTTTATTGAGGCTAGGCTTGTATTATATTAGATGTTTCCTAAATGTTTTTTCCCAGTACATATAATCAAAATACAACATTACCACAGATATTACCACAAACCGTTACCTATGCATTTCTCCACTGTAAATATGCTGTAAATATATTTAAAATGCTTATACATGGTTTTTTATGACATCCGTGACTCTTACTTTATTACTTATGGCATGATTTAGGCCTAAATTTCATAAACTGATAATTTATTTGACCACTTTTTAATAAAACAATATACAATAATGAATAATATTAAACATATATTTATATAAACAAGTTCTATAATACACTCTAAAATTATAATAATATTACCACTAATACCTCCTACTTCCGTTTGCCAACTATCGCTGTGACATTTTAGGACACTATAAAAATGCTATTTTGGAAGTGATTGCTGTACAGTTATGCCGAAAATCTGGAATAAAAAGGCAAACTAAAATAATCTGGGTTTAATAAAAATGTCCAGCATAAAGTATGAGACACGTGGATCATAGATGTGTAATCTATGGAAGCCCGTTTCTGCCACTGAATAAAAAATAAAAAAGGTAATTGCGACTTTTTATCTCGCAATTCTGACTTTTTTTCTCAGAACTGCGAATTTATATCTCGCAATTTTGACTTTATAACACGCAATTGTGAGTTTATATCACGCAATTCTGAGAAAAAAGTCAGAATTGAGTTTATATCTTTTGCGTGTTATAAAGTTAGAATTGCGAGATATAAATCACAATTGCAAGATAAAAACTTGCAGTTCTGACTTTTTTTCTCACAATTCTGACGTTTTTTTCTCAGAACTGCGAGTTTATATAACGTAATTCTGAGAAAAAAGTCAGAATTGCGAGAAAAAAAGTCAGTTCACACAAAACTCGCAGTTCTGACTTTTTAGTCTATTTCTCAGAATTGCGACTTAATGTCTCACAATTGCGACTTTTTATCTTACAATTCTGACTTTTTTTCTAGCGTAAAGAGATAAAAAAACTTTATCTGACTGACTAGCGACTGACGCTAGATGCTGCAATCTTTAGCCTCCCATGCCGGAGACCCGGGTTCGAGACCCACTCGGAGCGAGAACGAGGTGTGGCGGAGAGGACCCGGGAGAGAGGGGTTACACCAACAAGCGTCACATTTGCCCATTTTAGAGTCGCTTCTGACGATCCAAACACACAGAGAGACAATAAAACCTCAAACTCTTGCATATACTCCTCCTGATCTCTGTAGGCTGTGTTTGACAGGGAGCCGAACCTTTGCCCCAGCCGGAGATGGTGCAGGTGTCGTTGGGCTGGAACTGTAGGGTGGACCAGGGAACGCAGACGGCTCGGACCGCGGGATTGTCCTGCATGCACTTGTCTGAAACACCCATCTCCTCCAGCTGCACCAAAGCGATGTCGTTGGCGTAGCTTTGTGGGTTATATTCATGACGGATGAGGATGTTCTTCACCGGTACGATATCCGTCGTCGACTGCTTACGATGCTTCTTCCAGAGAGAGAAGTAGATCCGGAAGGACTTCGGTTTGGGCCTAGAGACGTGCAAACATGCTGGTAAATTGGTGGAGACAAAACAACGTTCGGCAGCACTAACTCAGGGCTTGTGGTGATTGGCTGTACCTGACGCAGTGGGCGGCGGTCAAAACCCAGCATCCGCCCAAATACGCCCCTCCGCAGCGGATCGAACCTTCATCCTGAATGGCCACCTGCCACTGTATCTGAGTCTGCAGGGCAAAGGTCACACACAGAGGTCATTCCTTACCTGCTGGCATTTAAAATTTTAGTACATCCATACATACAGCATACATAGGCTACTCATGTAACGCGATATATACTAGCTAAATAGCAAATCTCAACCGCTTAATTGTTTATATCATTGCAAAATGTAAACTTTATTATTGCCCAGCTCTATATATATAAGGTTGGATTACATTTTACTTTACTCACATATTTGTGACTCTGGAGCACAAAAGCAGTGTTAAGTCGCTGGGGTATATTTGTAGCAATAGCCAACAATACATTGTATGGGTCAAAATTATACATTTCTCTTTTATGCCAAAAATCATTAGGATATTAAGTAAAGATCATGTTTCATGAAGATATTTAGTAAATTTCCTACCGTAAATGTATCAAAACTTAATTTTTGATTAGTAATATGCATTGCTAAGAACTTCATTTGAACAACTTTAAAGATGATTTTCTCAATATTTAGATTTTTTTGCACCCTCAGATTCCAGATTTTCAAATAGTTGTATCTCAGCCAAATATTGTCCTATCCTAACAAACCATACATCAATGGAAAGATTATTTATTCAGCTTTCAGAGGGTGTATAAATCCCAATTTCACAAAATCGACCCTTATGACTGGTTTTGTGCTCCAGGGTCACATATATAATATATACTCGTGTAAAGCGATATATATATAATACTTAAGAAATCTCAACAGCTGAATTATTTATATTATTGCCCAGCTTTAATCTGCTGAATGCGACTACTATATCGATGCGACACGCGATAAACGATCTTTTCCTGATTTTAATCAGTTTTTGTGGGGAAACAACACACAAACTTTAACAATAATACTCTCGAGTATTGATTATGTGCTTTATTTAGTCTAATGTTAGTTTGGATGCCATTTTACGTGATCGTTATAGCCATACTGAAAGGGACAATGGATAATTTACCTCATACTGAAAATAAACGTTAAAACTATGAACTCGGTGTGAAGAAACAAGTGCATTCCATGGTGAAGACTTTTATTTTGGATGCGACTGATCGCAAATAATCGTTGCCCAGCACTAATTTTAACTATATTAAAATGCTTTTATTTTAAAAATGTTATTATGTACTTCATTTCATTAACAACACCAACCATATTTTGTGTCTGGGTGTGCAACAAATTTTTTTATTTTGTTGTTATCATCATTTTTGTAAAGAATTCTCAAAGTCATTAAGCTGTTTGAGTGTATTGAGACTAAAATAATTAAAAATTAAACGTAAATTCATTTTTTAAATTTTTTTTACAATTTGTCTATTTAACCTCATGCTTCGAACTCAGGAGTCGAGTCCAAAGCATGTTGGCTTCATGTATAAATTATATATATAAAAAATAAAAATACAGTGCTTTAGTGTGAAATACTGTTTTCTTGAATGTGTTTCCTACACTGCAAAAAAATGATTTTCTTACTTAGTAATTTTGTCTTGTTTTCTAGTATAAATATCTAAACGTTCTTGACTCAAGATGCATTTACTTGACAAGTAAAATGACTTAAAATATTAAGTCTTGTTTTCTAAAAAAAAAATTATAATAATTTTGTTGGTTTTTGCTTAAAACAAGCAAAAATATCTGCCAATGGGGTAAGAAAAATAATCTTAATTCAAAGGCTAAACAAGATTATTTTTCTTGCCCCATTGGCAGATATTTTTGCTTGTTTTAACAAAATATTGTTTTGTTTTTTTCTTAAAGCAAGACATAATATCTTATGCCGTTTTACTTGTAAAGTAAATGCATCTTGATTCAAGAATTTTTAGATATTTATATTAGAAAATAAGACAAAAATACTATGAAAATAATTTTTTTGCAGTGATTTAAGCAAATCTTCAAGATTATGAAATAATTTGAGCTCAAATCAAAGTTTCATGTGCATGTTTTGTATTTAGCTGCCATGTAATAAGTGGGCGATATTAGAACTGATCTTGATCACATTGTTTATTTTGCGATATCTTTTGCAATCCTTTGCATTTACTGGAAAACAAGACCACTGTGATCAGATCCAGCAGTGTAGTCATGAGTTAATGAGATGAATTACTCCATTAATCATCGAATGATTCATTTAATTTGATCTGATGCACAAACTCACAGCAGTCTGTGATACATGTGATACAAGACACATGAAGAAAAAAACAGCCCTCATGATTCCTCTCTGTTCTTCTCTTCGTGCTGTCCCCGACTCAGTCTGATAGACAATGATTAACCGCTGTCAACAGATGCCTGACATCAAACTGAATCAGACAGAAGGGAGGAGAAATGCAGCAGCTTCTGCCCGGAAAGTCGATAAAAACTGTTTATTCAGTCAATAAAAACAAGGCTAAAGGAAGAAAACTACCCACATGAGCCAAACCAACAAAAAAAGAAATCCAGTCATGGAAAACAGAAGCCAGTAAGTGCATGAGCGAAGGAATCAGAAAAACTTTCTCAACCCTAAAAACTTTGAATCACCACTTCGACCTGTTCTTTTTGTGAATCTTGAGTACCTATAGAGTAGTGTTGCATCCTTCATATCTCCAAAGAGTCTTTAGTTTTATCACAGCTTTACGATTCTCTCCAAAAAACAGCCGAGCTCCTGGAGGCGTGTCGTGGGCGGAGCTAAAGAGTCACGAGCACTTGAGCGCCGATTGCCAACAAAACACAGACATTTGATGCCGTTTCACTTACCGTCTGCAGTTCTGAATCATGACCGGGATCTTTTATAGCTGGGAGCACTCCATCTTTCAGTATCAAACGATTTGCAAATCCAGCGTCGAACTGGGCCTTGTTTATAAAACGTTCGTCAACAAACACGCTTGCTAAACTCCGTTGCTGCCCCGGAAAACCAACTGCATCCACTGTTCACGTAACGCTGGGTTCTTTGGGAAACCGAACAAGGCTATCTTTCCCTTACAACCAAAAACACACTTCTTTGGAGACATTCTTCCCAAGCAAGTCCTCTTCTGGGAGAAATGCCCATACAAGGAATTCCTCCCTTCATGACATCATGAAGAGCCATGCTCGAAAAAAACTTTCCGAAACTTATACGAACCCGGAAGGAGTGTATTTGGCTCAGAAATACAAACTTTGGCCATGTTTAACATGTTTAAATTCAACTCTTCAACAGTGTAAACAACTCAGAATGCATGAAATAGCGTTAGACCCCCCTCCCCTTCAACGAACATTCTCCCAGTAACATTAATAGAACATTGTTTAAAGTTAGCTGGTCTTTAATAATGTTCTCAATAGGAGCCAGTTGAGTCCTCTGCACAATCTGACTTTGCTGCAGCCTGGAACTGAACTGCTGGTTTCGTCTGGCCAGAGGAGAACTGGCCCCCCGACTGAGCCTGGTTTCTCCCAAGGTTTGTTCTCCATTCTGTCTCTGATGGAGTTTCGGTTCCTCTGGCTTGCTTAGTTGGGGACACTTCATTTCCAGCAATATCATCGATGTGATTGCACAGATATTATTAAACTGAACTGAGCTGGATGACAACATCACTGAATTCAGTGATGAACTGCCTTTAACTGTAAATTGAGTGTTTACTATTGTCCTTCTGCATTATTGACACACTATTTTCGTATTTAATGCTGTACAGTTGCTTTGACACAATCTGTATTGTTAAAAGCGCTATATAAATAAAGATGACTCAAAATGTTGGATGTTCGTTTAACGTACTTTAAATGTTACTACTTGTTTCAAAACGTTCAGAAGTAACGTTCATGTAATGTTTGCAAAATGTTAAAAATAGAACATTTCCTCATTTTGAGTGTTTTCTCAGCATTCAAAATAACCAAGAAAATATGTTTTTAGAACATTTTGAAAAATTTGATGTTTTGAACGTCCTGCGAACATTTCGAAATAAGGTTTTAATGGGAACGTTGGCAAAGCATTCTTTGTTAGAACATCTTTTGTAGGTTGGGTAGAAACGTTAAATGACTACTTAACTATAGTTGGCTTGAAGTGTTTTTAAAATATCATCTTGGGTTTGAAACAGGCCTGTGATGACAGGATAAAAAACCACTTGTTTGCATTTGCAAGATATATGTACAGAATCCAGTTTTTGCAAATCTAATTTTAATGCCGTTTATATGTGGTTTAAAATCTGATTTCACATCAAAAGTGTCTGCAGTGTGAATGCAACATGAAACTGGTTTGATTTCTCAAAATCACCACAACATTTTGAAAATGTATTGTGGAAAAAAGCTATACAAATAAACGTCAGATTCTTATGATTCATTTGTTTAATAATGTTTTATTGCTTTTTGCAGCTTTTTGGCCACTGTTTGTGGAAGCCTATTTCCACCATGGTATAAAAAACTAAAAAAAGTAATTGCGAGTTTTTAATTTTACAGTTCACACTTTTTTTTTCGAAATTCTGAGGGGAAAAAATTAAGAATTGCAATATATATATATATATATATATATATATATATATAACTATTTACTTTTTCCCCTCAGAATTCTGACTTTTTTTTAAAGAATCCTGACTACATTTCACAATTCTTGTTTTTTGTTTGTTTCCGCCACAGAATAAAAAAATTAAAAAGGTAATTGCGATAGTTTATGTCTCGCAATTCTGAGTTTATATCTTGTAATTCTGACAATTTTTCTGCCATGGGATAAAATAAGAAAAATAAGAATTGTGATATATATATATAAATTCAGAATTGTAAGGAAAAAAAATTCCAAATTGTGAAATTCCAGAGTGTGGTCACATACTTTCTTAGTAAGTGTGGTGTTAAGTCCTGCTCACACCAAAGTTGATAACTATAATGATAATATTAGCGTCCACACAAAGTGCAATATCATTCTGTTTATTATAAGTGAGCGCTCCAGTTATAACGTCTCCCGCTTTAAATGCTCGAGCTCTTTAAAGTCGAGTGGATTCTATTTGGCTGTAGACATTTTTATTGTTCATCAGCTAGAGAAAAACTTCCTGACAGTGATTCCGATGATACTGTTAGTCTGTGTCATTATTGTTAAAGTTTTGGTGTGGACTTCAAAGTTCGTAGTTATCGTCCTTGATGTGAATGGACCTTGCCTTCTCATGCTGTCGGAAAATTGTCGTAATTGACCCTTTGCAAAGACACGCCCCTTTAGTTACTGTTACTATTGTCTGACAAGCCATGGCGCTCTCATGCCACACATCATGTTCTCACGCAGTGAAAAATAGATCGCGGAGCAAAGAGGAAACAGATGGGGCACCGAAAGACAATACAGAGTAGTTTACTTTCGGTATGAAACAAAGTATCAGCTTTCAAATTTTTACATTTCTTTAAAAGATTGAAACAATACCGTGTTGTGGCTCTTTAATGTGTTGTGACAGATCGCTGTAGCGCCTCAGTTCTGCACATGAACTGATCATCTCTTTCTCTTTACAAGTTAATGCATGAAATAAACATGAATGAACATCTGGGGGGTATTCCAGAAAGCAGGTTATGTGACATACCCAGGTATGTTTAAGGGTAAGTAGTAGGGGTGGGAATCACGATACGATATTATCACGATACTTGTGTCACGATACAACATTATTGCGATTTTAAATATATTACGATATTTCGCGATATACAGTATTGTAATTTATTACCTTTTTCCAACTTCAAATCATGTCCCCAAAGGAAAATTTTGGAAACATCTGTTTTAACTAAAAAGAAACATTTCTCAGTTTGTTTATCTCACTTCAGTTTTATTGCTGCAGTGCAAAATGGGATTGTCAAGCAGACAAACTGACCAACACTTTCATGAAAACCTGTCATAAATGTTGTATGCACCTGGCAAACTCAACTATTTGTATTACAGTCTAATCTAGTCCAACTTAATTAAATGTAAACAGTGCAACTTTGAACAATGCAACTTGAAATTGTACTAAAAAGTTGTGCAGACCCTTCAGCAATTGGGGCATTTGAAAGTAAATTACTGTTAAATTTAAAATAAATATAACAGTCTTAAACGTGGACGGGGCTTTCCTGATAACTTTCCGCGATGGCGGCATCTTCTGCATGCTGAAGGTGACCCAGCTGACCTCACCAGAAAAAAACCTCTGTGTTTCGATACAGTATTGCGGTGGAAAATATCGCGATACTATGCTGTATCGATTTTCCCCCCCACCCCTAGTAAGTAAGCGGATAAACTCAGCTTTTCGGTCTTGTGTGTTAACCAGGAACATACTCTGGGTTGAATGAACTTATACTCCCGGATGCATTTTTGGAACCAGCATACCTCGAGTAAGCAAGGTTTGGGTTAATCAACCGAGAGTTCAGGGTCTAGCAGATGGTAAGTTAACCCTGCTTTCTGGAATACACCCCAGAAGTTATGTTGTGTCAACCGCAGAAAGACGTCAATACACACCAATTTTTTCAGTTCAAGTCGATCCAACGTTAATCTACGAACTCTCCTGTCTGATTGGTTAGCCGGACAAAATGATGGATTCTGATTTATGATTGGTCAGATCACCTGTCAATCAAACTCCCAGCGAAGGGTGAAGACTTTCCGACTGGGAAACTTGTATTTACGATCATTCCGATAGCATGTGAAGGCAGCATTATATGTTGTGTATTATCATGTAGATTTCTATAAAAATACAAACACATTCAGTATCTGCACACTCCGTTCCAGGGAGGAAACGGTCCTTGTAATAATTCTGGCAATCGCCGATAATCGGCACATTTGCCCATTTTAGAGTCGCTGCTGATATCCCCTCTTCAAACAAACGGACAGAGACACAATAAGACCTCAACTTTACCACCACTGGAGTTAAAGAACTCAATCTTCAATATATTTATTATATTTTTACAGTGTTCAGATATCAGTCTGTGCACATAGCTTATTCTCTCTATATTTATCAGTATTTACTTTATTACTAGTTAGTGTGAATATCTTGTGTGCGAATGTTAAATGAGGAGCATGCATGACTTGCACAATGATGTTATTTGCACATAAAACGCAGCAGTATTTCTCAATTTAAACCACCAGATATGATATGCGATGCATATATTTTGTTGTGTCATTAAAACAAGTGCTGCGTTCAGAACTGATCAGAAACTGAAGGCTGTAAATAAACATTCATTGAGTTTGTTCAATCATTAACCTGCATTTCAATCTCAGTGGCAAACTAAACAGATACTCCTGGACTGAGCAGATATCAAAGTATTGTAAGACTGAAACAAATATGAACAGATCATCTGCAAAGAGACAGAAACATCGTCAAACTGGGTGAGTTAGTGCTACTCAAAATTATGAATCAGTGGATATACACTTGTGCCATCTTCAAGTAATAAATATAATATATGCGGAATTAATACATTTAAGTGTTTCCAACAACTACATTAAAAATATAGATTTTTTATTTTTTATTTTGCAAACCACAACCCCCCACCCCCGCACCAAAACAAAAAAAGTTTTTAAAAACGAATTTGTTATAAATATATTATCTTTACTCATTATGAGGACTTGAAGAAACCCTGAAGCAGAACATGACAAAAAAAAAAAAGTCCTAAGATTTTTACTCTCTCTCTTTCTGAGTTTTTTCAGTATTTATTTATTTTGCTTTTTTCGTAACTTTTTACGACTTTTTATCTCACAATTGTAAGTTAACATCTCGCAATTCTGACTTTTTTCTCAGAAATGCCTGACACAAACTCGCAATACTGACTTTTTTTCACAGAATTGTGAGATAAACTTGCAATTGTGAGAAATAAAGTCAGAATTGCGAGATATAAACTGGAGATTCTGCGAACATATGTCTTTTTTTCTCCTCAAAACTGGATTTTATAACTTGCAGTTGTGAGTTTATATCTCAATTCTGAGAAAAAAGTCAGAACTGTGAGATACAAACTCGCAAAAAAAGTCGCAAGTTAAAAATTCGCAGTTACTTTTTTACATTTTTTATTCAGTGGCGGAAACAGGCTTCCATAACCCTGAATCAAACACATTTGATTTGTTTAAAAAAAAAAAAAAAAAAATTTTTTTATAGACAAAAGTTTTTTTTTTTGAAGAGAGGAAAATGTTTTTAAACCTAAAAAATATCTTTAAGAGAAAGTTTTTTGAGGAGAAATTTTTTTCAAAGATTTTGAAGAAAATCGTTTTTCACGTTGTGCTTCAGATCTACTTTCTCAAAATCACCCTAGTAAAAAAGTAATATATTTAAAATACATTTATTTCATAAAAAAAAAAAAAAAAAGACAAAAAAAAAAAAAAAAAACAGTCCCACCCGCTACATTTAAAACATTAAAAAATAAAACTCTTTTATAATTACAGTTTAAAGTGAACAACAAAACAAACCCTTTCTGGAAAAAAAAAATTGTACAGTTTCTTCTCAGCATGATTGTTGGCTGATTATTATTGCTTTCAAATGAATTTTTGTGAATTGCTTGGAGCGTCTAAACTTGTGATCAGCATAATAATCTCTAAGAGTCTTAATGCAGCGAACGACAGACGTACAAATGACACTCGACGTGACACACACACACACACACACACACACGCACACACACACTCTCACACACA